GTCTAAACTTATTTTCAAAATGAATTCAACTAATAGATTTAATCATTAGAGGCTCAAAATAAATATTGATTATGATAAACAATTTTATTTTACAATATAATAAAAAAAACTGTGATTTTTTTTTCTTTCATTTTTATATGGTCGCCTAATATCCGCAAAAGCCACGTAATCATTTGCCTAGACCGCGTAAACGTCCGCCTCGACCATATGAACATCCGTATTTTTAAGAACTGCATAAATCACCGAATACCCTAAAATTGGGATGCCCGACATCCGCGCAGCGATTTAGAACACTGGATATAAATGATAAAATTAGCTGATACAAATTAAAGTTCATTACATACACAGACTTACAATAGAGAGAAATGTGAGTGAGAGAGAAAAAAGAAAAAGGAGAAGCAAATATTCGGAACCAAATGAGCCAAACACAGTGTGAAACTGTTTGGTCTTTAAAGACAGCTTTGTTTTGGGGACTTTTGTCATAATTTAGAGTGGTTGTTCCGCCATGGACAACCTCCTTCGAATGCATTTTCAAGAACGTCTTCCATTCTCTTTGCCAATATCACCTGTTTACACAAAAATTCATTCATACCACTTTTAGAATATCCCCGATCCAGCGTTCTCTGCCAGACCAGACCTCATACAGGCCGGAATAGCCTAGCGCAACATTATTACTTTCAATGCAATACCGAGAACAAGACTAAATTGAAGTGCTAACAAATTACCTCTAGACTAGCGAGTACAGCGGCAGGTACTTCAACTAAGTCTTTCGAGTTCCTCTGCGGTAGAATCACTCTCTTGATACCGTACCGATGTGCAGCCAATATCTGTTAATTGAATTAACTCAGCATCTTTCAGAATTGTCCCCAAAGAAAACATGAAAAATGTTGCCCAATTTTTCGGTTTTTTTACAGCATGTGAAGAGAGCTAGAAGCAGCTTACCTTATCTTTGATCCCACCAACGGGTAGGACGAGACCTCTGAGTGTCATCTCTCCGGTCATGGCTGTGTCAGCTCTTACTCGTTTCTGACTGAACAGCGAAACCAGAGCTGTCACCATAGTCACTCCCGCTGAAGGTCCGTCTTTTGGCACTGCACCGGCGGGAAAGTGAATATGGATGTCTCGTCCATCAAGAACATTCATGTCCCCTGCAAGTGCCAGCTTGAAATCCGAAGCACGGGCTCTTACCTATACAACATCAGTAGACTGATCAACGAAAATAGTTCTGAAATATTTTATATGTTCAACGGGAAAGGTTTTTCAAGTGAGGATGTTTACCCATGTAAGAGCTAGTTGAGCAGATTCTTTGATAACATCTCCGAGCTGGCCCGTCAAATGCATTTCTCCCTTGCCCACCATAGAAGTAGCCTCCACGAACTGAACCTCTCCACCAAAAGTAGTCCAAACGAGACCCACAGAAACGCCAGCTGACGCCACTCGATCAGCTGCTTCACTGTCATCAAACCTTGGAGGCTGCATTGCACTCACAAAACAGCCATGTGCTTAGGTTCCACATATGCAATAACCACCAAAGATGATATTCCGCTAGACGAATATTTAGAATTTAACAGAGTAGAGGAGAGCTTTACACCGAGGATTTTTTCAAGCATGGTCTCATCGACCACCAGAGCTGAGGGACTCTGGAAGGTACTTCCAATCTCATGATCATTTACACCCATTGGAATA